AAATTAACAATACAATAGCTGATAAAAGATTAATGAAAAACGGCACAATTGAGTTAAATACATTTATTATTTTTTCATACATTTTCAAGAAACTATTACTGTACTTAACAACACACCATGTTTTTCCATTAGCACGTGGATCATTAATAAGTTATCTGCTAGTTAATTCATGAACCGATGTTAATACAACAAAAGCAATTAAAGCCAAAACAACATATTTAACCACTTTCACATTCAAATTAAGATTATAGTTTATGCCTATAATAATACTTAGAATTCTTTCCATTGTTACACAAGCAGTTAACCAGTCACAGAATGTTGGTAAAGCGTTTAATAAAAATTCTAATGATAGGCAAGACACCTTTAGAAATAATCAATGTTTCCATATTGTTATTTGAGTAGATAAAAGATAAGCAAATCGTGCACTAAATATAATTAAAATTGATTGACTTGTAATAGATAAGGTCAACAGATAATAACCACAACCAAGTTCATGCGTTTTTTTCTGAGGAAATGTTACTATTGAGCATGTGTTAAATACAATACCGACTATTATCATCAACAATGCAAGTACCAACGCCAAAAGAACGATTGTAGGTTGATGTACAAGAGATATATTAGTCAAGATTTCCGAACCAATAATAGCATCTAACGACAACGCATATGGCGTCATTGTTAGTAGACATAGAGCACCATAATAACAATCGAGACACAGACAAACAAAGTCATATTGACCCTCTTGTTTGCGTTGTAAATATCGACCATTATTTTGTCGATAACTTTTGTTCTCTGTACAATTTACTGTTGCATGATTATAGTTTAAATAATCGGCTAAACCATCTTGATCACATAAACACATGTAGATTTCATCAAAGAAACATTTCAGTACTGCTGAACTTAAACGATATAATCGATGACAATATTTAATTTTTCTTAACCAAACGAATATGTTACTAAGGTATTCATCAGCATGTGGACAATAATTTGTTTTCATTATGGTTGTTGTTGCATTCGTCAGATTATATTTATTTAGTAAAATTAAGTAATATTTACCATATTCATCATTTTTGTGAGAATGATCTGCTACTACTAGTATACCTAGAACAACATTATCACCCCCACTTGCCAGAGTCATTAGGTGAGCCAATGAGATTTCGAGAAACTGCACTAACAGTGGATACTTGGCTAATGGCTACACCGAGTCTCATATGTTTTCGATCCGTCGGTGTTTCAGATGATCGCAAAGGAATGATTATCATTGATTTTTATTTTAGAAAATAGATTCATAATAGTTCTGGAGTAAAACATAACCTTGTTCTGTTTTTTGATTTGGCATCTGCGTGTAATTAAGAAACAGTTCAATCAAAACTAGTAATTTACACTTAGTATGGATTTTTTGGTTAAAGAACATTGAAACGTTGTTACATTGCATATTTTTGAGTCCATTCTCTAGCAATCTGATTAAATTTTTCTGTCTTTTTTATATAAATCATCAGCTTCTCTATTGATACCAACAGATTCAACATCGGGAGAACCTAAGAGGCACAAAATTGCTGGTAACCATTTGCTAATTGTCCATGCCGCACACCAACTCTCACTTAAACTATCAATACCAATTGCACCATCTAAACTGATATTTGGATGATAAACTGGTGTTTTAAATCTAACTTTTGGTTGTGTAAACGGATAATCTGCTGAAAGATGAATTGAAAGAAAGAAAACACCGTCCTCATAAGGAGTATTAGATGGACCCATAAGTGATCCTCCCCAGTGGAACATATCATCGTTAATTGGGCCAGCAGAACACCCCCATGGTGGATCTCTTTCTAAATCTTGTAACTCTTTATGGATACGTATCAATACCATTGATATTTTCTTTTTCTTCAACTAAAGACAAAAGAAACGTAATATACAAATCTGCCTACACGGCGACAAAATAAGCGTCCAAAAAAGCGCCTACTAGAAAACGTCCACGAAAAAACATACTAAAAAAAGCGTCCACAAAAATTCGTCAAAGTATAGTATTTAAGTGTATACCGCATAGATGACTCGTTTCACTGCACTAGCTTATCTCAGAAACGACATATAGTGCGTTCAAAACTGAGTAAAATATTATTTAGAAATCTTTTCAAATTTTGTTTTTCCATGTAAAAAGAAAACATACAAGAAAATTCGCGCAGAAAAGAAAAACGTCTAGCAAAACAGCATACCAAGATGTGACGAAAAAGCGTCAAAAACCGTCCACTAAAAAGCGTCAACTTTTGGACGCATTTTTTTTTCCGCATACCTATTAATCATTTCATGACAACTGCAAAAGAACATAATGATACGACAAAAAAAGGAAGGAAAGAAAAAAGTTGTTGTTGTTGGGTGTAGGCATGCAACGGTTACGGTTATTAACCGTAACCGTAATAACCGGCCGAACGGTTAACCGTAACCGTTAATAACCGGTCGAACGGTTAACCGTAACCGTAAATAACCGCTTCATAACAGCTTCGTGTACTGATTGTAGAAAAATAAAGAATAATTTATTTGGAAAGAAAGAATAGTATATACAATCTTGTTTGG